TTTTTAAGCGATTCGGGGACAACAATTCGGTTCTTCACAAGGCGGTCTTGCTTCAACGTAGTCTGCTCTCTCCGACAAAGAAGGCCTCGAGAGTCGATAACATAGCATCCGAACGTCTTATCCGGTTGCTCTTCGCACTTGGAGATGAGCGTGATTAACTTTCGATCCTCTCGCTGTGCACCAATAAAACGATCGACATCACAATGTGGTTCATATTGAATAACTTCTCTGACCACAGCTCTGCTTAATGCGTCCGCGTTCTGATTCATTTTTCCAGCCCGATGCTCCACTTCAAAGTTATATTCTTGCAGCAGTAAATTCCAGCGTGATAAACGAGAACTGGGGTCACGGGCGTTCATCAGCCATTTGAGTGCACGACAGTCGGTTAACACCTTGAACTTTCTTCCATACAGGTAACACCGGAACTGCTTGACTGCCCAGACTACCGCCAAACATTCTTGTTCCGTTGCTGCATATTTTTGTTCGGCCGGATTCAATTTCCTGCTTGCATATGCAATGGGGTGCTCGTTTCCTTCGAACTCTTGCGTCAACACGGCTCCCAGTGCACTTTGAGAAGCGTCCGTTATCAGAATAAATGGTTTCGAAAAGTCTGGGAACCTCAACAGAGGAGCTTGCGTCAGTTCATGTTTCAGAACCTCAAAAGCCGCTTCAGCTTCAGTGCTCCAGCTGAAAGTGACCTTCTTTGACGTGAGCGCAGTCAAAGGTTTGGCTTTTTCGGCAAACTCTGGTATGTGACGCCTGTAATATCCAATGAGACCAAGAAATTGGCGAACTTCTTTGACTGTTGTTGGTCTTGGAAATTCGTTAACACAGCGCGTCTTTTCTGGATCTGGTCGAACCCCGTTTTTCGACAAAATGTGTCCGAGGTACTTCACTTCTTGTTTAAGAAATTGACATTTTGAGGGTTTTAATTTCAGTCCTGCCGCTTGTAGTCTCCTCAGGACAGTCTCGATATCTTTAAGATGTTGGTCGAAGCTCTGGCTGAAAATGATGATGTCATCTAGATAGACGTAGCATGTCTTCCCAAGAATGCCAGCCAAAATTGCATCCGCCGTACGCTGAAAAATGGCGGAGCTATTAACCAATCCCATTGGCATCCTTTTCCACTGATAGTGCCCACTTGGTGTATTGAAAGCGGTCTTCTCTTTATCGCTCGGTTCCATCTCTATTTGCCAGTAACCGGCGGCCATATCTACGACAGAGAAGTAGTGAGCAGACCCCAAGAGAGCAAGCGTTTCCTCAATATTGGGCAGTGGGTAAGGATCAACTCGAGTCACTTTGTTCAAATCTCTGTAGTCGATCACAAACCTGAATGACCCATCTGCCTTCTGTACCAACAAAGCAGGAGCGCCCCACGGGGATGTCGAGTGTTCAATTATGTCCTTCTCCAGCATTTCCTTGACCTGCTGTTCCATATCTTCTCTCTTTGCATAAGGGATTCTATAGGCTCTTCTGTATACAGGTGCGTCTGCTAAGGTTGGCACGCGGTGCTTTATCACGTCGCAACGTCCAAGGTCTAGTTTATGAAGAGAGAATGCGCTCTTATACTTTGTAAGAAGATCTAGGACTGACGTTTTTTCTTCCTCTTGCAGATGGTCAAGATCGAATTGCTCAGTAGGACGCCACCCTTCTCTTGCCTGTGCGCTGCAACGCAAAACGGGCTCTCCAGTCGACCCCTCGTTCACAATACTTATGAAATCTCCAACTAGCTGATTCTTGGCTACACGAAGTTCCTGTAATGTCAGGTTGGCCATTCTCACCGGTACCTCGCCATCGCTGTTGATTCGAACGGCCACATCTGCTCCTACACTCTCAAGAAAAAAGGGTGTCAAAAGGTGTATTCTTACACCCTTTGTCCCATATAATACACCCCCAAACTTCAATTCGACATACAGCGCCATACAGTCGAACAGACGGCCCGAACTTTTACGAGGGGCTTGATAGCCGTGTGGTACAACTTATTAAAATAGCTAATGTACGTTTTACTGACAACAAAAAATATAATCGGGGTTTTCTTGGCCCTACTGTAAAAACTCGGTGTTTTCATTATGTGGTCTTTGATACGTACTTTAGCAATTTAAAATGTTGTACCACACGGCTATCAAGCCCCTCGTAAAGTTTCGGGCCCTCTGTTCGACTGTAGGGCACTGTACGTCGAATTGAAATTCGGGGGTGCATTATATGGGACAAAGGGTGTAAGAATACACCTTTTGGCACCCTTTTTTCTTGAGAGTGTAATAGTCCGTGTGTACCTATTTCGCGCATCTCTACAACACCATCTCCTGAAATCGGCATCAAATGCTTCACTCTGGCAAGCGCCATCGTCTCCGACATTGGTGATATTACACATTCCCTCGTAAGAAATACAGGAGAACGTACACTTTCGGTTGATGGTACATCAGATAGTGCGGGGTGATCGTCGTCTTTTCTCCAGTTAAGAATAGGGACGCTTTGCCCTCCTATCCTAAGAATGCCCTCCGATGCCAGAATATCTATGCCATACTTTCGCACAACATCTTGGCCGAATATTCCAGCAACTGGAAGCATAACATCGTCCGCGCATGCAAAACAGGGATGTTGAAACGTAGTGGTTCCTATCTTGAAAGGAACGTCAAAACAACCGCTCGTTTTCAATGGCTTCCCCGTAATTCCAATCAGTTCGGTGTGGGCATGCGCTTCTGAAAGGCTGAAAGGAGCACCTCCCTTAAGATTTCGTAACACAGACTCTTTCATGAGCGTTACCTTAGATCCAGTATCGATAATAAATTCGGCCACTGTTGTTCCTACTTGGCACTGAACCATTGGACTGCTCTCACCACATAATCTAACTGACCCCGCTTTCGTATCGGCTGCCTTCTCGATGGGGTCATTTGAGAGGAGCCGTTCTAGTTTTCCTGGCGTCTCCCCGTGACTTGCCCATCTTTTCTTTGACCCCGTCCTTTTCCCGTGTTTCCATCACTTCGAAACATCAAGGCCTGACAATTTCGTGCAATGTGGCCTAGTTGTCCACAGTTGAAACACCTGGGAGAGTAACATCTCTGTGCATAGTTCGAACTACTCTGGTCCCTAGTCTCCCGAGCTGCCGTTCCTTCCTGCAGCATTGCTTCGATTCGTTCAAGACGGCTTCGCACTTCTTTAAGTTCAGAGTCATTTGCAGCTACTGTCCGTACCGCTTGGTTTGATGTAACCTGTTGGTCATTCCTCTCCTCCTTATGTGCTACGCTGACAGCCTCCTCAAAGGACTTAGGATCTCTAGAGAGAACAAACCGCCTCACTGGATCTCTTAGGCCATGCACATATTGCGTGAGCATTTGATCTTCCAACAATTCTCTAGCAGCGTCCTCCTTCTGTTTGGCCCGTTCACCTTCGTAAAGGACCAAAGTTCGCTGCCCCAGTCTTTGCACACGGGTCGCGAAGGCTCTGACATCCTCATCTGCTTGTTGACGAGCCCCCATAAACTTCTCAAGTCGAGCGCTTCGTGATTCGCTATCGAATCGTCCAAGGAGCAACTGTTTGAAGTCTGTAAATGATGCGACGGATTTCATCCTCTCTTCATGCCACGCGAACTCGTATGCCCTCCCTGACATTTTGCACTTGGCAATTCCTATTTTCTGCGTGTCGTTCCAGCCACCCATCTGTGCGACCTGTTCGAGCACTAAAATAAAATCGTTTACGGAGGTTCCGTTACCATCCCCGGAAAATATGGGCACCATTCCTCCCAATGCCAGTACAGTTGCCCCCAGAGATCCTGTCATTGCTTGTCCATTCCCTTCTCCAGGGCCTGAGGTTGCTTGATTCATTTTCACAAGGCTCGCAAGTAGGAGGGTTGCTCCCACCACTTTAGGATGTCGAAATTATTTGAAGCATCCCACCGCTGCCACCATTTGTGACGTTGCTATCCGTCACAACACCTGAGTGTGTGTATGTTATAGAGGGTCGTTTCAAATTAGGAGACCTTGTGAATATGAACAAGTTTTACTTTGAGAATTAGAATAAAATTAAGAAATCGGGAAGAAAACGTAGGAAAAATAAGAAAGTAAACTGGAATAAATGAAGAAGAAATACTATCTACACGAAGCAAGAGTAAATGTCATAGTCCGTAGATATCCACAGATCAACGTAGGTGACTCAGTCAGTGTTCGTCAGCATCACTCACAGTCAGCCGTCTTCCTTCTGTGTCTGCTCGTCGCGGGAGAAGAATGGAGGTCGACGTCGATCGGGACCCCTTCGCAAAGTCCCAGGGTCGATGACGGCGTCTGTTCAGGCTTCCGAAGGTCGGCTTCCACCGCCTGCCCAACCGGCCCTTTTTGTTCCGTCTTCTTCTTCCTTTTCTCTTCCTCTTCTTCTTTCTTCTCTACCCCCACCGTCGCACCATTCTCGCACACCACAACGTGACCTCGGGGGGAGGGGGTCACATGACCCGTTTCCAGCCTGTGCGGCGTCGGCGTTGGCGTCGGCGTCACCCCTCCCCCTCCTCCTCCTCCCCCTCCGCTCCTCCTCCTCCCCCCTCCTCCCCCGCCAAGGTCACGTGACCCCGGGGGGTGACTCCCCTCCCCCCGCCGGTCACGTGACGGCCCGCCCAAGGTCGTGATCCCGTCCCCTCGAGGTCACGTGACCCCCCGGACCTCTGCCCTCCTCCTCCTCCCCCTCCTCCTCCTCCCCTCATTGTCTAGTATGGTCCGGGGGGTCACGTGACCTCGGGGGGAGGGGTAAAGGAGAGGGAGGGGGAGCAGGAGGGGAGGAGGACTAGCAGGCATGATCACGAGGGAGGAGGAGGAATATACCCTTTACTCCTCCTCCTCAAGAGCTGCGCTCCAATTCGGCGTTACAGGAAGTTGTAAACGGCTTTCACTTTTTTTAGTCAGTGTGTTCCATTACCTTATTGGGGAAGGTAATTATGTGGTGACCCAGCAGACTAATTGAGTGGTTTGCCATGCTTTTATGCAGGTACAGCATCATTCTCCTTGCCCTGGTGGACCATGATACCGGTTCCGGTATGTCAACGTAGGAGCGCCAGGGCGGTGCCATGACGCCCATGTCTTCCGGAGGTCGGCACTGGCAGGCATTCTGGAAGGGCCAACGTTCCAGAAGCCCATGATCACCATCAATGGGACCGCCGTGCCACCACTGATCCTCTGCGACCAAGCATTCCCGCTTACGTCCAACCTGTTGAAGCCGTATACGCGGAAGGATGTTACGGACAACTCCACGCAGGCGGGGTTCAACAAGCGGCTGTCAGCTGCACGCAGGATCGTTGAAAATGCCTTCGGTCGAGTTAAGGCACGGTTTCGCCTGCTCCTGAAACGCATGGAGTGCGACGTCAACAACGCCCGCCTGATCGTACGAGCCTGCTGCGTCCTCAACAATATCTGCGAACACTTCAACGATGGCGTTGAGGCCCAGTGGCTCAGGGATGCCCAGCGTGTGGACGGCGTCCACATCCAACCGGTCTGCGCCACGGACATCGAAGCAGACAGCGGACAGAGGACAGAGCCAGATTAACGCATTTCGGGGCCCTGGGCTAAGGACGCTTTAGGGGCCCTAATGATGATGATGATGGCGACGATGATGATGATAATGCGGTCTGGTTAAGGCGATGAACCTGGGAAATACTGCAGTTCTCTTTAGTTTTTAATCAATTGAAAGTAGAGTCTATACTTTTCAGTGTCATCGACACATTCATTACAGCTCGCGTTTGATTATCGTCTAAGGGATAACTTGTTGAGTTTCGATTATCAACAATGATCGCTCTGCCACGTAGACATAGACCGAAGTGCAGAACAAAACCTTTTCCATAAGAAACATATTTTATTCAAACAACCACGCTCGAAATTGAATGAAAGTACAAAAAGGTACCGCAAATATACAAGTATTAACAATATTTACAATGCAGATTTTAGCTATACAATGCGTACATATCGCATATTATACACAATGCAGTGATATCTGTGATTTGTCAGTTTCCCTACGTTGCAAAGGAACGCAAAGGGCCATCATGTTGGACCGTTTTACATGTCTCCGTTCAATAAAATGAAAGAGGGAATAAACAACAGTGTTTGTGACGGTGTCTTAAATACAACAATTGTTAACACAACTAGCAAAAATCTGACTGCGAACTAACTTTACATTCAAAACGGCGTCTTGCGACTCTTCAAGCTTGAAAATTCAGATATCGTCTCGTCGAAATTGGCCAATCTGCAACTGAAACGTAAAGTCCAGTAACTATAAGAGCGTCATTCATAGGCTGTTCGAAGAGTTCCCTTTCTTTTATTTCTGGGAATCCTGAAAATTACTACCATGTGCTGCTTTTTCTTGGGGGCTGATGGTACCTCTACAGGCTTGTCATAGGCAGGGCTTTCAAGCTCATTGTTACGGACAAAACTGTCGCTTCCCTAAAAAGTCGTGTATCGAAAAGGAATTACTCCGCGCCACCTTGACTCAGCTTCTCGCGATGTGGAATTATGTGTGCATCCTTCGGCATAAACAATCGTGCACTTGCCTAGAGGGCCACCATTGTTCGTAAAACTAACGCTCCGAAATAGCCTCAAAATAAAAAGATTTACCATTCCCGTCTGGTTTAAACTAGGGAGCACTCCGGCAAGACCACCGCGGAGGCGGCATGCGGCTTTGTTCCCTTCCCCAGCAGCGTCAAAGGCCGCACTTTCAAAGTGTAAGCGCTGCTCAAATACACGTGTTTTCGCGCACGAGACACGAGCCCGAGTAGGGTGAAGGGGGAGGTGTTTATGACATTTCCCTTCCTGATAAAAAAAAGAAAAGAGGAGCGAAAACCCCAGATCGTGGGGCCCCTCACGTGTTTTCTTCGTTTGCTCGAAGCCGCTTTCAAAAAAAAAAAAGCGGACAAGCACCCTCAGGGGCCGGTCACCCAACCAAAGGGCCGGCTTTGTGCAGGGACAGGGGTGTGCTACGCGAAGTGCGCGTTCCCTCTTCTCGAATGCTGCGGCAAAGCAACATCGCTTTCCAAAATAATTTTAAATTTCGGCTTTTTCTTTTCTACGAGCTGCAACGGGACCCCCAGAGAGTCGGGGGCCCGGGGCTGCAGCCCCCTTAGCCTCTACCTTAATCCGGCCCTGACAGAGGATCAGGAACGCCATTGCTGTCTACCTGCACCAGCGTTCCAGGCTGCAGCACTGAACCCCTGTTGCGTGATGCACAACGGAGGCCCCATGTTACTGGTGGTATGGCACTGGCCTGTCTAAACATCAGTGCTGTCTACATTTCTGCAAGACAACTGAGGTGCACCCTCGGGTGCACTTGAGTCGTCTTGCACAGATGCAGACAGCACAGATGTTTAGACAGGCCAGTGCTGTACCATCAGTAACATGTAGCCTTGTACCGACCAAAAAAAGCCCTTTTGAGGGCCAAACAAATAGGCTTTTGGAGCGTGCTATACTTAGAGACCATGCCCTCCCGTGTCCCGAGTAAATGCTTCATGGGAACCATGAAATGTGGCTTTTATACTTTAAAACAAATTTTGTTGATTGAATTATTCCAGTTTATATCTGAACTTCTTTACGAAAAATATAAAAAGCTTTGTAATACTTGGCAGATTTTTAGTCACAAGTACATATCAATATGTGAAATAAGTATGCAATGATTATGATTATCTATTGGATATCATTGAATCATTGGATAATATCAAATGATTTAGATAAGAAATAACCTAAATCATTGGATATTTTTCTTATATTTGGTGGCAGGTTAATGACCCTATAGATGCTATATCTCTAGCGTGTAATTATTGCCCTCCACTTAACCAAGTGTCGCAAAAAGCTTCAGAGGCAGAAATCTGCACTCTTAACTGTTACCACAGCTCTGAAATACTTCATATTTTGATACCATATTTCTTGATTCTAAGCACCCCCTTTTTTTACACCTGCAATGTTTAAAGAGGGGGGGGGGGTGCTTAGAATTGCGAAAATACGGTAGTTACTTTGAGAGAAAGTCATCCGTGAAATTTTTCTTTAACAATATCTGCACAAATCGCACTAGACTTTGTTGCTACGAGTGATCCCAACCAATTGAGTGCTGACCAAGCTCCTGTGCTCCCTCAAGACACTTGCATGGCATTGAATTGAATCCAATGGCTCGTGTCTGCTGCAACCTTGTCATAAGGGTGAAATGGAGCATCATGCCTTGCATTAAATGCTGAGGTAGAGATTATTTCATAGTCAGCAGTTTCCTTCGCCTTGCAGAATTTAATAATTATATGAAGGTCTATTGCTACAGAAAATACTGATATGGGCCTCCAGCGCTAAAGTTGCACAATAAAGGCTGCACTGCACTGCAGCAATTTAGGAATTGCTCCAGTAGTGCAACAAAATCCAGAGACGTCTTTAGCTGGCATGCAACAAAAACGGCGTGACCTGATGCTTTCACAGTATTGGGAGCACAGTGGCTTTAAAGCAGGCAACAACAGTGCAAAAATGTCACGGGTGACTTATACCTAATAAAGTACAGGCGGTGGTGGGTTTCAGTCAGACAGAAGAAAATTGCTTGGACCACCTAGTTAGTACTTTCTTCACTTGAGATGACTGAAATGAGCGGGTGTATCTCAAAAGGTCCCATTCGCATTTGAGCCTTGCACATTTCGTCCCTTTCTCATTTGGTCCTTCTCGTTTGAACCTTCTCATAAGATCTTAATCGTGTTTTTCGCAACTGGGTCCATTCTCATTTTGCCCGTTATCTGAAAACGTCCCATTCGCATTTTGACCGTGCGAATTTCGTCCCATTCTCATTTGGTCCGCCTTGTTTGAACCTTCTCATAAGATCCAAATTGTATTCCTCGCAACTGGACCCATTCTCATTTCGCCCGTTCGCGCTGCGACCGAATGGCACTATACTCCGCGACAACTTTTCTTGGCAATGCAGTGGAAGGTAGAGGCCCGCGTCCCCTCTCCCATTTTGAGTGTGCGCGGGCTCTCCTCCTCTCCCCGGAAATGGGGGAGGAGGAGAGCCTGCGTACACTCAAAATGGGAGAGGGGACGCGGGCCTGTGCCTTCCACTGCATTGCCAAGAAAAGTTGTCGCGGAGTATAGTTCGGCATGATTCTAACGTCGTTATGCCTCCGCGGCTTTGTTGATAAGCCTTACCTTGCTTGGGCCCCCAACATACCATCAGATATATCTCATATGTAGAGGTACACACTGAGAATCGTACAATGACGCCTGCTTCCCTTCCTCTAAGCAAACAAAGAAAGAAAAAAGCGATGAACATTTAATTTGGAAATTTCGTTTGATTAGAAATAGCGTGCATAATAGCAGTGGTTCTCAATCATTGATGTTTCGCAGACCCCTTGTAGAAAGGCGGAGATGATGGAGGGCCCCGTTGGGGGTGAGGGGAATAGAAAGGTATAGGTTATCATCATAATGGTTTAATAAATGAATATAACTAACTGCTAGTGTGAAATAGACTTGTCTCATTAACATACACACGAAAGTGCTCACCCGAAAATTGGAACATTTCTTCTCAACGTGAAGAAAGACAACGAATATTGCCGTGCTTGACTGATAAGGCAGGGTTTCGCGGACTCCTAGGATGCCTTCGCAGACCCCCTTTTGAGAACCACTGCATTATAGAAGTGGTGGCATTGTCCCAAGTCGAGAGACCTCAAACAACGTGACATTTCGGAATGTGATCTGGCTGCGATAAATAGTTGGTCTGTTTTATTGACAGCTAGTAGCTTTTCACGACGACCTCGACGCACTGCTAAAATCCTTAGCAAAGAGAGTATGCCTGTAGCGTGGCACACACACACACACACCCACGAATAAAATATATCAATGTATTTATTAATATTACCCAAAAAGAAAACGATTTTGGTATGGAAAGAGTCAAGTGCGACGGGTCAAAGCGAGATATTTTTGAGAATGTCTGTTTTGAAAAGGGCCAGGTGAGAAGGGCGAAACGAGAAAGGACTCAAATGATAACCACCCGAAATGAGCCTGCACAGAATGGCCGTTTACTTGGAGGCTTTATTAAGGAACGCCATCATGGCACCCGCAAGGTCTTGTTGTGACTTCGCCATTTCCCTCTGTGTCTTCACAGCATCCTGCTGTACCTTTAATGCTTCTCGCTGGACAGCCAGCTCCTGCTCCCTCAGCTCAAACTCCCTGTTGCGTGCCGCTTCATAGCTTGCCAGCAGTTGTGCTTGGCGGTCCATGATGACTTGAACCGCAGCAGTGCTGGGGCTCTGCCTCTTCCTCTTTGGCCCTCTCGGCTGGGTCTCGTCCGTCGCCGCCACAGATGCTCCCGCTACTTCTTCTCGAAGCCATAGCAGAGTCGAAGCCAGCACTGGTGCTGGCATCTGGGCTTTCATTTTCAACATCTGCAGCACGCTCCCAGTGAACGTCTTCCTCGGGGGGGCTGCCTTGCGTCTCCGAAAGGAGCTGTGAAGAATTTTGCAAGACGAGCTTTGCACATAGAAGAACATGAACTTGCAAGTGGCCAAGTATTGCCCGCAGCCACCATGCAAGGTGTTTCTT